ATTTTGGTATTTCATTAGTGAAGAGCTCACACTCCATTTGAGAGTCCCAGGAAAACTATGTAGATCATGTAGAAGCAATTGGTGCTTCTGAATCCTGCAATCTCAGTATTCACAATTTAAATTTATAGAATGAAGAAATGGCTATAGAAGAACAGACACAACTACAGGAGCTTAGAAAGACTTATCCACAAGGATATTCTAAAATGAAGGTCTCAACAATATCCTGTAAATAATGAAAAAGGAAATAATCAGATTCCACTGAGTTATGTTTCAACTTAAAAGGATTAGGCTTTTAAGCTTAAATTACAGAATGTGAGGCTGAGGGTTCCATATTAAACCTGAAGAATGGCATGGTTTTTACAAACCATCACATAAACTTCTCCAGCCCACTGAGTCTACAATCAGAAATACTAAAAAAGTAATAACTGAATAATCAATGGGCAGAAATAAAATCGTAATTTTTTTGTAATCAAGCAGAGTGTAGGGTAAGGTTTTATGTCTGCATTTAAAAGGAATTCCTTACAGTTCCTCCTTGGATTAAAGAGATTTACACAGTAGTCTTAGTTACTCAATAAAATCTGGAAGGACATGAGATTAACTCTACTACTCCCAAACTGACCTATGGAAAAATGATCACTTCTCCCCTGCAAAGAAATGACTAAATGGTAGGGCAGAGGGCCATTCTTTTTCTCAGTGAAATCGTTCTACATGGAAATAGGAAGCTGGAGAACATGGGGACTAATAAATGGGATACACCTATGATGAAGGGAGTGTTACTTCTCTTAGCAGAAAGTTACCTTATGAGTTTTGGAATTCTATCTCAAAAGTGGTGATCCAGTTTTAAATAGATTGTGTTATATTAATGATAATCATGCTGAATAAGCATAATATAAACTTCTAAGGCATTATTCCAAGGAATGAGCCATATGAAAAGGCAGTCAGAAAGAAACCATAAGCTCTGGAGTCAAATGATGAAATTTAAGTTACTATAAAAGTGATCCGGCTCTCCCTGGTGGCGCAGCGGGTTAAAGCACAGCACTGAGAATCTAAAGCCATTTCCGCATGAGTTCGATTCCCGCCTGCCCCGGAGGTGACCACATGGCGTGGCAGACCTCTCCTGACCCGCCCGCTGCTCCCCTCAGCAGTGTACTTCGTCGATCTGCCTGTTCTGCTCCCCACTCTGTCTCTGGTGAGGCCTCTCGCCGCCCCTGAGCCTCTGGCCTGTACCCCAGTTCTGTATGCACAAATAAATAAATCTTTAAAAAAAAAAAAAAGTGATCCAAATATTCTTGATTTGGGAACTCCTTTAGAACTGATGATCATAGTTTGGTCTAAGTGTGACATTGTTTAATAATAAATTAGAAGTAAAAATGAATCATTACGCTTTCTCTCTCTAATATTTAGGATGTCATCAGGAAACTCAATCATGGCTGACAAATTGAAATAGAAACTGTTACTCCCAATTTTCATTTGAACTTTATGTCATTTGGGATAGAAACTCATATATTGTTGGTGCCATTTTTGCAAAACTATTGATTTAACACACATTCTAAGGGAACTATTATTATTTACACAGAACTTTATTTTCTTGTTCAGAAGTAGCCTATTTATGTGAAAAGTCTTTGTACTGGCAGTTAAATGACCTGAATTTCTAGGTAGATAATCTAGGAAATTCTTTTGTTCCTGAAAATACACCAATAAAATGAAAATGATAATATCTTGCTAGGGAATTATAAAGATAAAATAAAACCCTTCAAAATGTTAAAATGGAATTTTTTTTTTATCTCAGTTTTGGCTGTGGCTCAAGAAAAGCTTAGAAAATGACTTAGATGGCAAGAATTGCCTTTTGCATTCCAAAGTGATGTGCTATATATATATATATGTATACATATATATATATATATATGTATACATATATATATATACACACACACACATATATGTATAGTGTTTACAGTGAAGGTTCCTACAAACTAATTTTTCTGACTTTAATAAAAGCACTGATATGGAACAGATAAAGAGGAAATTTTCAGGGACAAGTTATTGGGGAACAAGCATTATTTCCCTCTCCTCTTTCATGAGGAGGAGAGTCTTCAAGTAAATCACACAGAGAGCTTGGCATATAGCTGTTGAAGAGTAGCACTGGTCAAACAGTGTTTATGAAACCTCAAGTGCAAAAGCTGTGAGAACTGGCGTAGACAACTGCATAAGGAACAGTTCCTTTCAGAAAGCAGTGTCAACAATGCAGGTTTTCTGGGAACAGATATAGAGTGACCACATGCATAGAGTTGGCCTAGGATAATTAATTATAAAAGGGGCCCTTCCTGAAGCACTTTCTGCCAGGGGGATCAATGGGGTAGCCTCAGCAGGATGCTCATAGAGGTGTCAAATGAAGAAACTGATAGGATGAGGCAGAAAATTGATAACCCTGGGAGAAAAGTATTGTTGGAGACAAAGATTTTAGTATGGGTGTTCCCAATAGGGGTGATGCAATGACCCCCAAAAGATCCCATGATAAAGGGTCAACCTTGAGTATTTACTGAGGCTAGAGAGCATTAAAGTCAAGTTGTGATAGTATCAGTCAAATAACATGTTTCTTCCCCTCTCTGCACCCCACCTTTATACAGGGGAGACAGCAGGTAGTCCATAGTGGTAGGAGCATGAATGAGGTTAAGCTGACACTGTCTCCTTCATAAGCTTTCTAGCTTGAATGGAGAAGTTTTTCCTTCTCCTTTCAGAACATTATGTTTAATGTTCTCTATAACATTCATTTAGGCTAAGACATAAAGAGATTATCCTGGTTAAAAATATGTACTTGTTTTTCTAATAAAAGTGACCAGAGGGATTTTGATCATTTCTGTGACCTGCAGAGTTATAGTAGCTGCCTTTGTTTTTATCCAAGAGAGGGGAATCAGCGCCTGCTGAATGGGCTCAAAGGCATGTGGGTGGGGGATGGATGGTTATTTTGATTTTGTCCTATGTGGTTCTCTTTCATTTAGGTGGCAATAACAATGTTTTGGAGCAAAGTATTTATGGACTTGAATTGATGAATATGTGTATTTGTGCTGGATAACTTCCCTTTGCTCTTCTAATTCACTATGCATGTTTTCTCACCAGGCTTTCAGCCAGGGAGGCTAACTTGCGCAGATCACAGAAAGTCACTCTCTGTCTGGTTTGGGGTAGCCTATGGGCAGACTTGGCAGGAAGAGATTTAACAGTGGAAGCCAGGGCAGGGTAATTCTCTCCTGACTCTCTTCAGTTGATCAAAGTTCACTACTTCTTTCAAGGAATCTGACACCTCAGGACTCTTCTCTGACTTTTGAATGTTTGACTTCTGTTATCTTTTTAGAACAAGCCCTTCTTTTTAAGCATCTATCAGAGTTCACCTATTATGAGTTACTTGTAAGTAGTCTTGCTATGAATAAATTCTTCCTAAATCTCTCTATTTTAAAATGTGCTGTGTATTTCCCTGACTGACACACAAATATACTTTTCTAAACTCAAAAGGATAAGGGGAGAATTAATATGAAAATGTGCACAGTCATTAAATTCAAATGTAGATAATTATTATGATACTATTTTGCAAGGTATTTTAAAATATAGTGTAAAGGAGTGAGGGAAACTACCTTTTAGAAAAAATCCAGGTCAATCATCAATATCTACTAATAGTAAAAGGTAATTCAGACAGTAGAGATATAAATATAGCTATTTCCTTTTGTTTGCATACATGAAATGCTGATTTATCAATTTCAGGCTTTAAGCAACTGAACTGAATGAACAAAATGTTTTGAATTTTAAGATTTGGGAAAACTGCTCTTGAAAGTACCTCGATCTTTTGATATTTTGGTTTTTATTGGCAAACTGCTAAAGTGAACAAAAATTCCTCATGATAATTGGGCTATTTGGTTTATTTTGGGGTCCATATTTACAAATTAGTTATTGATTTCTAAAATTTGTGAATTTTTTCCCGGGCCTCCAATTTATGTACTTAAAGCTTAATAAAATGGTTTCCTACTTAAGTTCATTTATTTTGGTGGGGGCTGGTGAGTGTAGAGTGGTGATAGTGCAGGGAGAGGAAACTGAATATGGAAAACTATTACGTGGCTGTCTCTGACAAGTTTTGTAAATTTCCTTACTCATTATCTGGCCACCTAACAATCTGAGTGGGCTTTTCACTCTCTCCCCCCATCTTGTTAGGGGCCAGTATCAGAGTAAACCTCAAAAAAGACAGAGGTCCTACTATAGTGTGCTCTTTTTTTGTTTTTTCGTGGTTTTTTTGTTTTCTTTTTTTTTGGAGAGAATTTTAAATTTTCATTCTTCAGGTTATTTTTGTACTAATAATTTTAAGCAAAAAGCCTAGTTCCTCTCTTTTCAGGTTTTATCTCTTATCCTTTAATAAAAGATCAATTCAGTTTTATTTGCAGTCTTCTACATGTTCCCAAGTAAAATAGTTACTTGGGATAGTCAATTTGCTGGGATAGTCAATTTTTCCCAGTTAATAACCATGAAGTAATCAAAAATTCATTCTAAATTTATATACTTTCTTTTTGGTCTATGATTTGTTGATACATTATTGTATCCATATTTTTAGACACATGATTCTGTATAGGTGAGTGGATTCATTCACATATTTTAGAAATTTTTTTCCTGGGTAAAAATAAAAAAATGATGTTCTGCTTACTTATATTAAGTAGAATATTTGTCTGAAACATTTACCCCCAAAATTTAGAACACACACACTCTTTCATTTCCCAAGTAATCTAATACCTTATGATAACTTTTATATCTACAGGCAACAGAATTTTAAGTGACAATATTAATATTGTTTCAGTCATTTTTTCCCCCCAGAAAGTTATTTCTAATATCCTACTATGAACCTCACAAGTTAGCTAAAACACTATCAAATCGATCCACCTGTAAAGTTTTCATTGTATGTTTTTATTTGGAAGTCTGTTTTTGAGTCCAGGGTAGGAGAATTTGAAAATGCAAATGTCACTTACCTCTGTTTGCCTTTATGATCTACAGAGCCAGCTGAGAGCCTGTCCAGAGGAGACCCAAAGCCAGAGAAGCTTCTTTTTTTCTTTGTTTCAATCACATCATTTTCCAGTGACACAAGTTCATCAAGAAGCAAGAGTTTTGCTGCCAGATCAGTGTCTGATTTTTCTTCTTTGACTGCAGGAGGTGACTGCTTATCTATAATTCCAGAATCAAAAGCCTAGGGGCAGACAAGGAAATTTCATTTTTTAAGAAAATTTAATCTCAAATATTCATAGTACTTGCATTTGGCTTTTGTTTCCTTTAACAGACAGGCTTTTTAGCTAAACTTGATTTCTCAGGTTGTTTACCAGAAAGAAAGACTGAAAGACTTTGTTTACCAGAGAGAAAAACACATAGAGTGAAGTATACATGAAAGAAATGAAAAGAAAACAAAACACATTCACTTTTAGGTGTACAACACACACATGCACACAGAGAATAAAAGGAAAATCTCTGGATCTGTCTCTAAAGCTTTGTATATTAACTGATTATTCTTCTCAAAATCCTTATCATTTTCACTGCACTTTCTCTGTACTTTCATTATCACTACTTTTTCTCCTATATTATATTGGCTATAATATATTTGTAATGATTATGAGATTGTGAGTAAGTTGAGAGCAAAGACTGTATCTAAGTAGCTTTTTGGTTTTTATAGTCAATTTTTAGCCTGGTATTTGACTCACTGTCAGTATTCAATAAATTTCTGATGAGTATTTACTGAAAAAGCTTTAAAATAACTAAACTCTGTTCTGTCTCTCTCATTCATTCTTTACTGGATCAAGACATTAAGTTGCCACTATATTCCAGATTCTGAATTAGATACATAAGGCCATATTCCAATTTCTATCCTCAGGGGAACTTGCTATCTCCATCAAGTGTAATTTATTAATACATATTAATAAGTATTTAGAGCTATCCCATGACTTTTTGTTGCATGTAAAATTTGCATGTTTGTATTACATATATCACTTGTAGTTCATCCAAGTCTTAAAAGTATGGGTTCCAGTTTGTGAAGTCTGTCCTTCCCTAGACCTAACCACAGCACTTAAAAAAATTACCTTGTTTACAATTTCTGTAGTTCAGGACATACTTCTTTTCCAAGAGCCTGAGAATGTTTCTTCTGGGAAGAAATGTTAGGTCAAGGATCTCTTCCATTTCCCCAGTTAGTTACATTTTTCCTTGAGCCAGACTCTTGGACTCCTTTTCTTTATTTCCTGTCTTTCTTCTTACATTACTGATTCTATTCTCTTCATTTTCTCCAAGAAAATGAACACCCAGAATTTCTAATCCTTTTCATCATCAACTGGAACAACTTTATTTTTTTTTTAATACTTCATCTAACTCATAGACCTAAATGAGCTTTCTCATTCCTAAACCAATCAACTTCATACTAAGTCTGGGTAGTTCTTTCTGGAAAACTGCTTTTGCTCTTTCTGATTACCATAAGGAGTGACTTTATTTAGATCCTTTTCAATGTTCAATGTACATTCTTAATGGTCTTAAAACTTCTCTATCTCCTATTTCCCTCTCTTCTCTAGTCCATCCTGATACTGTCGTTCATAGTTAATTCTCCAAACACCAATCTCATCATATAAAAAGAACATTAAAAAGCTTGCATAGCTTTTTATTATTTACAGTGCAAAACCGGTAGTATGGTTCCAAATTCCTCTTAATATCTCAACTTCTTTCACTTCTCTATATAATCCTGACAATCCAGGGGTTGCTAAAGTTATGGCAAAAAGCCTCTAAAGCAGGAGAAAATCTTCAAAAGGAAAAGATCATTTAAAAATGATCTCTCAGAGAATCCTACCAAATATATGTTTTTATTCTTCAAAGTGACACAGATATAAAAGTTTTACTTCATTAAAAAATATTTTCAGTCCTCAGGGAAAAATTCCTAGCCCTTATACAAAATCTTTCTTTGGTAAAGTGCATTTTACACTCTCACTTTATGTTATTTTGAGAAGTACAAAGAGTATAAGTTTCTCACAAGACATAATATGCTAAATGAATTATCCGATGGGTAGAGATGTCTCCATATTTCTTTTCCTTTGTACTTTATGTAGGGAAGCAAGAAAACATTTAAAGTTTTGTTGTTTCAAAAATTGGCCAAAGCAGCTCAAATTTTGACATGTAAATTTTAAATTTCAATATTATATACTTAATTTAATTTTTAATTTGACTGGACTGATAATGACTTTTCTCTGCTTGTTATTCAAAAAACGCAAATCGTTGTTATTACTTTCAGCTTTTTCTTAATGGCAGAGGTAAAGGCTTTCTCTGATTCTATGGAGAGTACCAGACATAAAAAAATCAATTATTTCTTGGTTTTGTATAAAGATCTCTATTTGTCAGCTCCACTTGCTTCTGACACTAGTCAAAATACCTTTAGTTCATTAAAAATATGTGGTCCCTTAAGCTAGATATCTTTACCTCTGTTGCTATATCCAGTGAGAGCACCTTTCCTGAGCTCCACAGCATCAATGTCACAATCAGGATAAAATGTGCATTTGCCAATCTCCAGTCCAGCATCTATGGTAAAGATGCATCAGGGTTAACAGTTAGTTTGGCATATAAAGACAGAAACAAATGCTCCTAAAAGCTTGTTAGAGGCAAGTGACAAACCCAGTCATTCAACTTCAATACACTGGAGTCCATGTCTGCAAAACTTAAGTAATACTTAATAGGGTCTGTCAATCTACCAGAATGAATTCTGTCAGGGCTTCATTTCCATGGAAACCTAGAGTGGGGTTGTACAGCTATAATCATAATTTAAGTCAATGTAACTATGTCTGAGAATTCTGGTTTGCATTACTTTATTCTCTGTCTATTCCAGGGATTACAACCTCTAGAACATGAAAGGAAATGTGTAAACTTTGTCAGCTATGTCAGAAAAAGAAGTGGTGGGGTTTTTGGTGACACAGAAAGTATGTGTTGTGTCTCTATGCATTTAAATTCAAAACTTCAAAATGCCACATATGTGTTAGGATAGTTTTAAGTCCCTATGTTATGTAAGGATTTCTTAAATAAGATTTAAAATGTGGAGGCCTGTTCTGTTCCCCACTCTGTCTCTGGTGAATCCTCTCACCGCCCCTGCACCTCTGGCCTGTACACCAGTTCTGTATGTATAAATAAATAAATCTTAAAAAAATAAACAAAATAAAAACAAATTAAATTTAGTATATAATGGACTGTATTTTCAACATATAAAACTAAGTATTTAAGTAACACTGAAGAGTTAAATTAAAAATAGGCACAAATAAAAATGGGTCAAAGTTACCAATGGGTATTTCAGAGTAAAGGAAATTACTTCAGGTGAAATAAACATTCAACTATACATGCAACCTATTTAATACAAATAAAGAAAAATTTATACCATTTGTATATAATACATTGGCAAAAAATTGAAGTCAATATTGCAAATGTTAGAATGATATTAAGAAATAGAAAAACCCTGCAATGTTAGTTGAGTTAGCAATGGGTTCAGGCAATTGGAGAAAACTGGACAATTTTCAGAAATGTTATGAGTGGTTATATCCCATCTATAATCTGATCATTTTACTTTTGGTATATATCTCACAGGCACTCATTCATAGTCTCATAAGGAGACAATGTATTTGAAAATTCGCAGCCTCATTGGTTACAGTAGTAAACATTTGGAATGAACTCAAGTACTCAAAAAGAAATGTATTTATCAGTTGAAGCATATACATATTATAGACTTAATACACATGAATTTAATATATGTGGTATATATTTACATGCATAGATTTGAAAGAAACACTTAAGGCATAGCAGGAAGTTATAGAACACACATGATGCTATCATTTACTAAAATTGGAAATACACAAAGCAATTCCATGTATTTTGAAATATATGCTTGTAATTAAAATATAAACAAATGGAATTTGATTATTGACAATGATTGCCTCTGGGTAAGAAGGAAGCAAATATGATAATAGAGGAAACAATAAGAGACTTAGTTTTTTTTTTTTTTAAAGATTTATTATTTATGCATACAGAACTGGGGTACAGGCCAGAGGTGCAGAGGCAGTGAGAGGATTCACCAGAGACAGAGAGGAGAGCAGCACAGGCCGACAGATGAAGTACATTGCTGAGGGCAGCAGCCGGCGAGTCAAGAGAGGTCTAACGCTTCATGTGGGTCACCTTTGGGCCAGGGATCAAACTCATGCTGAAGTGGCTTTAGCTTGGGTTGTGCTTTAACCTGCTGTGCCACCAGGGAGGGCCCGAGACTTAGTTTTTATTCACAACTTTAAGGGGAAAATATGTCAAAACACTACATTTGTAAATTCTGTGTATCAAGGAAACAATTCATAGGCTTGTGATTTTTAATATTAAAACATCACTGTGCAGCAATTGACGTATATCTACGGTGTGTGTTAGAACTGCTGTCTGTCTATTTGACTGGTGAGCGGAAGCATTCTTGTGCTGAGGGAAGCTTACCGGCTGTAGTATACAATGAATGGACTTGACTTTACCGCTTAGTAGATGGCACTGGGACATCTCTCAGTTCATCTACTATGAGTGAGGGGTCTCGGTAATTTCCTGTTTTCTCAAAAAGTAATCTGGAGAACTACTGGGAAAAGAATGGAAAGGATACCAGAATAGGAACAGAAAAACTTGATTTAAATTTCAGTTTGCCTCTATATTAGTGTGATCTTGGAAATGTATTATTTAACATACTTGAATTTTATTTTCTATATTTGTAATGAGAACTAATTTTCTCCTCAAAAGCAATTTGACAAGATTGAACTAACCCATGCGTAGCTTCTTGAGCTCATACAGTATTTATCATTGTATGGGAAGGAACATTTATGATGTATCCCTAGTTCCTTAATAACTACATTCCACTTTGGTGTGACCCAAGATTTTCTTTATGGCCAATCTTAAAGACCTGTGAACCTATGAATCACAGTGTAGATTTTAGTAATAAATGTTATTTGCTAGTAATAATATTAGCAAATAAGAATTTTATGTAGACAGAATGGCATTTACATTAACCATCTATTAAGACATTAGGAAAAAAAACATTTTAACATTATCTGCAACATATAGAAAATATAATTGTGATTTTCATGTAAAATAATTGAAACTAGTTTCTTCTTACATCCCCAATTAATTTGTTTGGAATCTTGTTGCATAATGTTAGTCACTAGTTACTATGTATTCTGGAAGGGCAAAGTAAATTCCATGTTCTATTTCTGATAAATTAATATTTGAACTGCACATTTTGGCAAGTATAAAAAGCAATAAATCACGACAATATCTTTGAGACAGTGGAAAAATAGTAAGAATAGAACTATTATCTGTCATAACACCAACCAAAAGATTGCATTATCTATTTTTAGAACCTCAGCCACTGAATTGTACTTTTTCCTTTCTGATTTTACTGATCTCTTTGACTTCCCTTAATGTAAAATAGGCTGTATTAAGAAAATAACTGTTTTAAAAATGACCATATTTCATTTTAAAAGATAATTTTTTTCAATCAATCAAAGATAAACTGTAATTGTGATATTTCCCTTCCTCGATTTTATCATTTTAAAAGCAGGTTATGAAGTGCGAAAGTTCCCAAATTTGTAGCTCTTACCCTGTCGCCCTTAACTATTTTTATTTACATTTTACTAACTAGGTTTTTCTTCATTGCTGCAATCTTATAAATGGAACAGGGTGATGGGTGTTTATAATATTGATGATTATGTTTGAGGTATATATTTTTGTGCTTGGGTGTATATAGGAAAATGTCATAATGTATCATCTTACAGATAACCACATCCTGAATATTTGGATGAGGAGATGTAAAAATAAATGCTGAGTTTAAATACACAAGTTTAATGGTTTAAAGCCATGCTTGTAGTCAGCTACCAAAAGGCCAAGTTCCTAAATATGGCATTTGGTTCACTAATGAAAACAAACACCCTGGCACCTGCCACACAAAAGACATTTGATTAACTAGTTGGAACTTGATTGCTACAAAATTAGAAACAGAGGAAATTATAGGGAGGGAAGGAAAAGACTAGGTTCAGTTCCATTTCCCTATTTTGTTGATAGTGGATAAATATAGCCCATGATTTAAACTCTCCTTAGCCCTATGTCTATTCCAGATCACAGAAAGAACACTCAAAGAATGATCATTGTGTGAATACACCAAAGAGGAGGAGTTGTTTATAATTTTTCAGTGTATCAATATTTTTTATTAAATTTTGAATAATATGTCTTTGGGTAGGAAGAAACTTCTAAAAAACCAGAGGGCATGAGACCTACCTTATAAGACCAGTAAGTGTGGACATCATTTTTCGCCAACTGATCTACTATGTGCATATATTTTCCTTTTGTAAATATTACTGTTCGATAAGAGAACTTCTCACATCATGTATCATTGTAACCTTTGTTTCAGAATCTCCAGATGTAAGAGCTCATTGTACCCTGAAGTAACTTTCAGTCTTGTACCTCAAGACTGTGACTGGAAAGGTGGTGGAGGGACACGGAGGAGAGGTGTGAAGCATACCATTTAAGTCTGGGAAATAACACATATTATATATTCCTTTAGAACATTGAGAGGGCTTATCAACCTATCACAGACTTTCAAATTTCTTTAGGAAATAAACTGGTTTAATTATATTTAACCATAAGTTAAATGTGAAGTCTGTTCAAATGAAGAAAAGTGTCTGCATTATAGAGAATCAGCGTTGCAATAAGTATTTGCTATTATAAAAATAACTAAAGATGATTCTAAAAAACAGAACAAACTGGAATGAAGGTAAGTGTTAGCATTAGAGAAGATGAATTTTATAAAGGAAAACAAAACAATACGAGCCAGTATAGCATGTAATGCACTTTTTAAAATGAATAAAACTTTTATTAAACTATCTGCCCTTCAGGGCTGGTATTAAAGAAAAACAAACATATTCATTTGATTAAAGACATTTCTATTTCACCTCGAGTATTGTCATTAATATATGTCTTACATGTAGTAGATCTACTCTTTAGAAACTCACATTAGTACTGAGATTCAAGATAAATCTTGATAATTTCTGGGAACTTTTTGCTTAATCCTAATTTCTTGATTGGAAATATGCAAAAATAGACTCTCAGTCCCATCACCAACAAAAAATTTTTAAAAAGAAGTTAAAGGACTTACAAATTAATTAAACTTTGATTTTTTAAACTTCTCATATTTCACAGAAGACAAACATGTGAGTGAGATTTAATAGGACATGTGGTAAAGAGTCCCTGCTTCTGACACTACGAGGTGACCATGTATGCCAGCCCACAACACTGTCCACAGCAGTCTGACTCTGAAAACATGTGGCCTTCTGGGTAAGTGAGAGCGAGGTTGTTCCTATATTGACCTGTAAAACAGTGCAAGTGCTTCTGTATGTCTTTCACTTAGCAATGGAAGTTATAGATGCTTTTTGATTTGGAAGTCTTTTAGACAATAGAGAGAGGCTGTAGGAATAGTTGATAACAGAGGGCATAAAGGGATCTTTGGCCCACTGGAACAGAAGCCT